AGATGATACTTCTTCCAAGATGACCAGAGCTTGTCAAGTTGGTAAAAAACAAACCAGAACAAATGTTTTATCACATTTCAGGTTTTAGATTGTACATAGATATATAGATATCCGTGCATGCAGAATCGTAAGAAAGTTTTACAGCCTCTACCAGATAACTTTAACATAGACTTCCTCCCTCGTGGAGCAATGCTGGCTTTCTGACACGTCTTGCCTGTCTTTATAGATTGCTTTACTTCCCAACAATGCTGCCGAGCTGGGCAAGTATGTCAATGGTGACAAGGTGCTAGCCTCAAACACCTACCTTCCAGGACCTCCTGGCCTGCCTGGAGGGCAGGGCCCACCCGGTAAGTATGAAGAGGAACTTTGGAAGCTGATGGCATTTCTGTCCTCTCCACACACTAGAACATGGGCTGGCTGGGAGCTCACACTCAGTGAAGCTGGACAGTGCTCCCCAGCTTCCTCTAGGTCTCACAGGTGAAAGCCAATGTTCCTGTTGATGAGAGACCATGGGGAAGTTAGGTCCTGTAGCTTGGGAAGAAAGGGTTAATTTTCTGAATCATTTTAAAAGGTGATAATTGTACCACACACCTGGTTAGTTTTCTGGTCATTTTTAAAGATGATAATGGCACCACACACCTGGAATCCCAGTACTCAGCCAGAGTGAGAGTCTAGCCTGGGCTACATGGTGAGAGCCTATCTCAAAAACGCTTATTTTTAAGTTAATGAGCAGCACCATGAAGACTGTTACTTAAGTTCATCCTAGGAAAATCTTAACATACAGAGTAATCAACTCATAAAGTCATTCAGTGCTACTGAATGGCAGCCAGCCCCATCGCCACTCTCCTCAGTTCTTTGTCTACCTCCTCTTACTGCTTAACTCATTTTCAACTATACCCTCGCTCCTATTATGTTGGAAGTGGGATTTGTTGAGGTAAAGTACATGTAATGAGGTAGGCCATCCCAAGGTTGAGTTTTAGTTTTGCCAAGTATAGGCTCCCCTGTAACTTATACTCCACACCAACCTCTCAATACAGGAAGTTTCCACCATCCACGAAGTACCCTTGAGACATGGACCACCAGTGTTGTCCCTATATGAGCTCTAGGTATCTACCAACTGCCTTCCTTTGCCAAGCTTTCCCATTCTAGGACTACATTTCAGAGCACTCTCATAGCATATGTTCTGTATGGCCATCTTCTTTCTATCAGCATATAGTTTCAGAAATTCACCCTCACTTAATTAGAAGCTATAATGAGAACTATTTCTTCAAGTTCTGAGGTGTTTTACACTTTATCTTGACCTCTCTATACATACATCAGTAGAGGCTTTCACAAAAATAGAGGAAATGACATTAGTGTTAGTATGTGACTCTGAACCATGACTGTCTTATCCCTCGTTAGCAACTCAGAAGTGTGCTGGTTCTGACCTCTGACATTCTACCAGGGAAGAGGTGATGCATACAATGACTACAAACAGAGGAAAGTAAGCCAGACTTACACCTATAATCCTAGCACTGAGGAGGCTGAGGTTGGACATTGCTGTGGGTTTGAGGCCAGCCTGTGCTAATGAGTGAGATCCTGTCTCAAAAAATGAACAAACAACAACAAACAAAATCAAAAAGGTATATATATTCCTGCAGGTCAGACCACAGGAGTGTTTTATTTTCAAGGCTGCAGGGAGATAGCATGTAGCTTGCAGTCAGAGGTAGGCACTGGGGGGTTGAATTAGTCAAGGAAGATCAGCAAGCTATCAGAACCGGAAGGGATGGCCAAGCTTTTTATCAAATGTCAGTAGGAAGCAAGGTTCAGAATTTTTTCCACAGGATTCTGTGCTTTCTGTCTACTTGTGCCTTAATCCCCTGCTTTCCACTATTGTCTGAAATTCAGTCTACACAGGACTCACCAGGACTTTGGTTTATCCTCTTGTTCATCCCATGATCTGAATATTCTCTACATGATTGCAGTTTTTCTCAGGCAGATGCTAGACTCTGGCATCCTCTTGCTTCTTCTAAGTAGGCCATGCTCTCTTCTTACAAAGTTATTCCTATCACAGCGACCCCAGTCCCTCTGTAAGTGGATGCTCTTGCCTTGCATCTCCAGGCCAGTCCACATGTCTTTAGAACAAGGGCATCTACAGGATAGGGGAACCATTAGCTGTTGGTTTTCTCAATAAATCACTCACTAGTTTGCCTTCCAGTTCTGCCATCTGGTTTCAAGCATGGTTTGAGCTGTCCAGGGTCCTTGAGGGAAGCAGCGTGATTGAAGATGAATGGGCTTTTGCAATGCATGAAGAATTTCTCATTTATTTCTAGACTTGAGTTGATTTCCACTGAGAGGTATTAGGGTGACCAGGGAGCTCATGAGGTTCTCTTACCTTTAAACAGAAGTTCCACCCAGAGCCCATCATGAATTGCATCCTGAAGCAACAGAACAGGAGGCTGCACTGGGCTTACACCTTTGGCTTTGGAGATAAGAGGTGATTCCAGCTCTCTAACCTCCATAGTTATGATAAAGTCTTTCCATTTGCATACTAAGGAGCTACATTTTAAACACACTTGACAGAAAGTGACCCCTGAAGTTTAATAATTAGGTAACTGCAGGTGACATCTCACCTCTAGCTTCTCTTTCTGCTCTTAGACATAGAATAATTACAGGAGCTATCTGTCCCCCTTCTCAAATAAACTATTTCAATACATACATAGAATGGGTATTGAGAGTTGGGATATGAGATATATTTGAATGGAGCATTGGCTGCCTTTAACTTTGCAAGTTGTCAAGGGTTCAAATGTAGGTCTCTTTGATGGTAAAAAAAAAAAATTCTGCTAGTGTGTAGGTGTGTGCAAGCATGAACGCATGGAGGTCAACCTTTTGGTGCCTTTCTATATCACTGTCTTCATCTTGCATTTTATATAGACTGGCTGACCAGCAAGTCACTATGATTTTCCTGTATTGACCTCTGGGACTGTGTCTACAGCTATTCACTACCATGCCAAACTTGTACATGGGTACTATAGATCTGAACTTGGATCTTCATTCCTATGCAGAAAGCACTTTCTCCGCTGAGCCATCTCCCCAACCCTCACACCTTGTCCTCTTAAGCACTCTGTAGATAACATTACATGCTGGTGTAATGCAGGGATAGAAACACATGACAGGCCAGGCTTAAAGAGGTAAAGTAGGCAGATCTCTAGATGAGTGAGAAGGTTGTGGAACTAGGGATCCACTGTGGGAACATTTCCAAGTGCCTGACTTGAGCAAATAGGTGGCAGATGGTCCAAGAAAACAGAGAAAGAGGAAGTCACTTTTAATCATGTTGAGTTTAAATTTCCATGAACACCTTAGTGTAAATGCCACAAGGCAAAGAGCAGAGTTAAAAGACAAAGGTCTGTGGTGACTCCTGGACTCTGTGTTTGTCTTTATTATGGAATAAATGCTAATAAAATGTTCTTGATTGCAGGTTCACCAGGACCCAAGGGGAGTCCTGGATTCCCTGGTATGCCAGGCCCTCCAGGACAGCCTGGCCCACGGGGCTCAATGGGACCTATGGGACCATCTCCTGATCTGTCTCACATTAAGCAAGGCCGGAGGGGCCCTGTGGTCAGTATCTTCTCTGTGAACCATGTAATGTTGGAGGAAAATGTGTTCTTGTCCTGTAATTTTTTTTTAGTTAAATCAGATTCTGTGTCTTCTAGGGCCCACCAGGAGCACCAGGAAGACATGGCTCCAAGGTAAGTCTTATAAATGGTCCCTAACAGCTACTTGAATTTCAAGTTGGGTGTTGTGGCATAAGCATCTGTGTAGTTATGATCACACTCATGTTTCATGCTAATCTATGTTTTTTAGAATGGCCTCACTTGTTTAAGTAGAGAGCCACATACAGCTCCAGTTAACCCAGTGCTGGCTTCCCTCTTGAGAACTGACAGCCGCTTGTCTCATACAGCAGATAGATAGGTGTTTCACACACTGCATAGAAAGACAAGCTTACCAGTTTCAATAAGAGGTCCCCTGAACCCAGCTTCAACTCCAAATTTATTTCCTGCAGAAGGATGGTTGTGGATGGTGGGTGTCTAACCAGAGATGGTGGTGCTAACATCTGTATGCTCCAGAATGCTAACCTTACCTTTTGGTTTTAGGGGGAGAGAGGAGCACCTGGGCCCCCAGGGTCTCCGGTAAGTTGCACTGTCAGTCCTGTTACCCAGTAGGGATGCTCTCATGGGTGTGGCACTCATAAAATGGTAGAGCTGGGGCTAGTGAGATGGCTCAGTGGGTAAAGACACTTGTCATGAAACCTGATGACCTGCGTTCAATTTCCAGGACCTAAATGTTGGAGGGAGAGAACTGACTCCCACAAATTGTCCCCAGACCTCCATAGGAGTGGTATACATATCCCCACACAAATAAGTAATGTTTAAACATTTTTTTAAAAAAAATGTGTGTAGGCTGAAGTTTCTGTCCCACCAGCCAGCTCCCAAATAACCACACAGAGACTTTTTATTATAAATGCTCAGCCAATGGCTTAGGCTTGTTACTAGCTAGCTCTTACAACTTAAATGAACATATATCTATTAATTCATGTGCTACCTCATAGCTTGCTACCTTATTTTCTATACATCCTGCTCCCTCTGCATCTGGCTGACAACTCCACCCTTCTTCTGAGTGTTCTCACAGTCTCTCTCTCTTGGTTAACCTCTTTCTACCTAGCTATTGGCCAATTGGCTCTTTATTAGACCAATGAGAGCAGCACATCTTCACATTATACAAAAGGATTATGCCACAGCATATATGAGTGGGTCTTAGTAGCAGAAGTCCACCCTCCTCAGCTCTCACTCAGGCAGGCAAGTCTGTGGTCAGACGGAAAGTTGTAGATGACTAAAGCAGCTGTTTGAATTTTTAGACTTTGCTTTCTGATATTATTTCTTTGATCTTGATAATCTTTATGTGAAATATCTCATCTGAAGCATACTATCCTGGGAATCCATTTCCTAATGTATCATAAGATATTTGAAAGACAGCTGAGGAGACAACTTAGTAGGTATAGTGCATGACATGCAGGCAAGGGGACTTGAATTCAATCCCCAGAGTCCATGTGGAAAAGCCAATGTTTGTAGTGTGTACTTGTAATCCCAGCTCTGAGGAGGCAGAGATAGAAGGAACCCAGCCAAACAGAATAGCACTTCCAGGCTAGTAATAGATCCTTTCTCAAAAAAACCAAAGTGGACAAT